TTTTTTTTTTTTTTTTTTTTTTTTTAATTGTAGAGATGAGGTCTCACCAAGTTGCTCAGGTGGGTCTCGAACCTGCAGGCTCTGGCAATTCACTCACCTCAGCCTCCCAAGGCCCGGGGTTACAGGCTGAACCACCGAGCCTGGCTGAGTGCTTAATTTTAATAAAGTCTAACTTACACATTTTTCTTTCTTAAATCATATATTTTGTCATATATCTAAAAACCCATTACAAAACCAAGGTCACATAGCTTTTCTCCTAACAGTTTTATAATTTTGAATATTACATTTGGGTCTATGGTCCATTTTGAGTTAATTGTTGTGAAAATGTAAGGTTTAGACATATGGACTTTCATTTGTTCCAGCACTGTTTGTAGAAGAGCTTATTCTTTCTCCATTGAATTGCCTTTGCTCCTTTGTCAAAGATCAGTTGAATATATTTGTGTGTGTCTATTTCTGGGCTCCCTATGCTGTTCCACTAATCTGTATGTATATTCTTTTACCAATGCAATACCATCTTGATTACTGAAGCTTATAGTAAGTCTTGAAATCGGGTAGTGTGACTCTTCCAATTTTGCTCTCCTACTTTAGTATTGTATTGGGCATTATTCGTTTTTTAAAGCTTCCCAAATGATTCCAATGTGTAGTCAATGGTAAGAATCACTGCCTAGGAGGCATCTGGGAATAGAAACAAGAACATAGGTTTTAAAGTCAAGCAGCCCTTTGTTCAGATTCATGGTCTGTAGGCAAGCCATTTGAAATATTGAGTCTTCAGTTTCCTCTTCAGAAACTGGGAGATTAAAAAGTTTACTTGGGGGATTTTGTCAAAGCAACATCTTGGAAGAATCTAGCATAAAGATGAGCATGTAGCAATTGGCCAATCAAGATGAGTTCCCTTTCCTCTACTTCAAATGCTTTCTTGACTATTTTCTTAGTGTGCTCTGCTTTGACCAAATATTATGAAAGCTCCGCATAGTTATTACTATGAAATATCTCTTAATAAATGCATGAGCATGCAAGACAGGTTATGATTCTGAGTTTTGCTTCTCCTAGAAAATGGTTGTCCAGATAAAAGAAATAAGCTTGCTTGAAAATCTCTTTAGAAGAAAGTGATTCATATTAAGCCCATGGGGAATTCATAATGGTCTTTTTTTTTTAATGATTTATGGAATGAATGAGAATTTACTGTTTATATGGAAACACAAATAAGAGAATAAGAAGCAAATAGTACAAATGACTTTTAAAAATAAAGACAAAGTATATGCTTTTTAAAATAAGACAAATAGAAAAACTACCAGGAAGAACATTTTTGAATCAATGATGTATATTGTTATGATTATAGCTTTGTACTTTTTTATTTGGATCATTGTTTTAGTACACATTTACATAAGTGAAATTATTAGGTAGAAAGTAGAAATAGTTTAAACACTTTTTGATAAATGCCATCTCACTTTTTAAAAATTCATCCTTTGTTCTACAGAGAAAAAAATACATGGATAAGCAAGCAAGCAAGCAAACAATAACAAAACCAAAAATCAGAAAAGGTGAAAAGAGAACTAACATTTATCAAGTTAGCTGCTCCAGATACGATGTTAGGAATTATACACATTTAAATGACTTAATCCTGTGGAAAATTTAATGTAATTCTCACTTTAGGAAGTCCCAGAAAAGCTAAGCAACTTGCCATGAGGCATACAGTTAACATGGCAGAGCCAGGACGCTTCCCAAGGGT